ACTCTATGAGGGCTTCTCCTTGTTGGTTAACATCATCCAGCCTGCTATTTGCCGCTTTGGAGAACTGAAGCTTATTTTGTGAAAATTATCATTTAGTATCTGTGTTTGCCAGTGTGTCATAGCAGAACTTCATCAGGCTTGGAAAAGAAGTTCCATGAGATTTTTCCAACTCAATGAGATATTCAGTAAGAATTCATATTTCTCATCCTGTTCGGTTTTTCAAAAGAAGCTTTAAAAGACATGGAAAGAATCAAGAAACAGACCCGGGGGATATATGGTTCATCATCATTTTGAATGTGAAGCAAAGTAATCATAATAGTAAACTGGCTTTTAATAGTTTCAAAATAAACATCATTTATTCATCAAATTTATATCTCTTGTGCACATAAATATTTTCCTATTATGCTGCTTGAAGGACAACTCTCAAGATATTTAAATTCTTAGAGGGTTATTATACCAAGTTTCTTTGTGTATAAGTAATTTGAACTAATTATTAAGCTAAATCTTCTCATTCTAAGTTATTGTCTTTTGAAAAAAGAGATAATCTAATTCTGGCTCTTTTTGATTGTGAAAATTCAGTTTTTGGACCTCAGTAACTCATTTCTCAAGTAAGGTGAGTAGACTTGTTGAACAAAGGCCTCTTGTCAGGCTCTGTGAGATCTAGAGAACATCTAGGTCACAGAGAGAAGGAAGGGTCCAGGAAGCTACAGGCCATGTATTTGAGCTCTCAAGTCGTGCAGGATGCTCACTTCTTTTCCTTACTTACTACTTCATGGTCCAAATAATATTTATTATAATTTCTTGGGCAAGAGAAGAGTGTTTTATCAGTGTGCCACCTCAAGGGGAGAGCTCAGTTTACAATAATTTACAATAGTAGGTGGTCTAGTACTCTTCGTCCCACCCAACTACAGGTCCTTCTCTATCACCACACCTCTTCTTCTCTAACATGTATTACTGGATGTCCTGGTCATCACCCTCTCTTAATAAGACACATGAAAGAGTGACAGTTTATATGACTTCCTATTAAGATGGAGACAAGATAGTTTTGGACCTAGACTGGTATCATCCTGTTGAGTGTCCAATGAATGATGTACTTGCCACTTCAGAAGGGAAGTTATCGGTCAAGCAGGAAGAAATACATGCAGATTTCAGCTGTAGATCATTTTATTGATTAGAGACTTAAATGCTTGTTTCAAAGTCCCTTGATTAGAGACTTAAATGCTTGTTTCAAAGAATGAGGTGGTCAGGGATACAGCTGGGCATCAGACATAAGCAGAATGAAGGACTCTAACATTGCTAGGGCTCTTGCCTTTAGTGTTAACTTCATTTGTTAGTGTTAACTTAAAAAAATAAAAAAAAACTGTGATTGGTCCACTTCAAGTCTAGACCAATTTACTGTGGCCTGAGGATAGGGTAAGGTAGGAAAATGTGGTCCTGTCCTTGGTCGAGGTGGTAAATTCTCATAATAAGGGTCACTGCACAGATGGTTCCACAAGTGTTCACTATGCGAATATATTAGACAGGAGTGGATATAGTCACAGATATATTTTAACTGATTCAATCAAATTTTTAAATTTGGAAAATCTGATTCTCCAATTATTAGTTCAAGTATTCCACCTCTTCTATTTCCTTATTCTCTTTATATTCTTCAGTCTCATCAAAGCCTCCAGCATGGTTTTACAGAGAACCTTTTCTCTCCCAACATGCATCTGAAATATATAAATATCATACAGTTGAATCTTACCCTGTATTATTCAGTCTACTATTTATAGCTTGCTTCTCTCTCTCTGATATTTAGGTTCTTTCTTCTTCTGGTTGGTCTGGGTTCAGTGGCTTCAACAAGGCCATCATTGGACCTTAAACATCTGTATGAAGCTCTCTTATAAGGTTTGCAACCTGGCTGTTAAAGCAGTGTATGACCTCTATTCCCTCTCCAGTCTCTATCTCATGTGCTCCTGATTGATTCTACACTCAAGAAGCTTTACCCTTCATACCAGTATCCAAAATTCCCTGGGATGCATTTTCTTCACTCACCACTTTTGTGGTCTGAGTCTATTTTCTCCTCTCTGGTTCCCCATGTTGGCATATATTGCTGGAAAAAAAAATTGCCCCAGTGTATAGAGTTACAAAACTGAGAATTCATGGTATCAAACCTCTGTGAACCTTTCCATGGTGTGGCAGGCAAGCTACTTCTCACTGTGCTCTCTTTCATACTGCCCACAGTAGCTGATAGAAATATTTAGCATTTGTTCTAAGCTATCTGTTACATAAGTCCAGCCCCGCAGTACAGAGTTGGCAAACAATACAAAATGTATAGAATCCATGAGTTAATGAATCACTGACTGAAGACAAATCTTTTATGGGGAAAACAAGAATCGGACTGTAAAGCAGTGTATGACCTCTATTCCTAGACTGTTGCCATTGAGTTCTGTTGGGCACCTAGATCTTTACGGTAAATATTGAGTTCTGTTGGGCACCTAGACTGTTGCCATTGAGTTCTGTTGGGCACCTAGATCTTTATGGTAAATATTCCTTTCTGCATAAATTTTAAAATTATTCTCCCAAATAAGGAGACCACCTAACCTCTAAATATGTTCATGAAGAATAAAACATGGCATCTCATCCTATAATTTTGGTAAACAGAATCTCAACTTCAACATTAAGTTGGTCTCACTGAAAAAAACAAGATTAATCATTGAAGTTATCAATATCTACTTCACAAAATGGGATGGAGAAAAAAAATCATAATTTGATGAAATCAAAATAAAAACAAGGCTTGGAGCATGTTATTCTCACCAGTTAGAGATAGAGGGTATCTAAATATAATTATTTACCAGAAATCTCATCAACTGTAACTTATCAAATAGTTCAGCAAGTTTAAAGTACTTGTAATCACTTGGATTAAAATGACAGAATGACAGTTGAATAAAAAAAAAAACCCCAAAACTTATAAAGCTGACTTGGAGAGATTTCAAATAGGGTAGTTTATACTATAATTTGAGATGAGCTAGAATTTGTTTTTTACAGGTTATCCTCTGCGAAAATATAAAAGACATTTGGAGTTAGTGGCTGGCATTATATTAGTAAAATTAAAAACAATACAAAATGAAAATAAGAGGCACATATAACTGCATATATTTACAAAAGAACTCTATACCTGAGAATGTGATGTAATAGGCAACTTTGTGGATATTCTGCCCAGCCCACCAAGGCCTCTCTGAATGGCTCCCTTGCCCACACTTCCCATTGGCTATGTTATACACCACCCCAATCCTTTGGCCACCGTTTATTGAGCCTGCTGAGCACCTTGGACTGGTTGCATGGACTCCAGGAGCGATGAAGGCCTCTAGGGAGAAGAATGAGGCAATTGCCGGGGCGCAGG